ACAAAGGTGGAATTGATTTTTTTTTTTTAAAGTATACTATAACTACAACTGAACTTCAAGGAGCATTTTATAGTAGTATGGCTGCAGGAAGAGGAGGGGTTAAAGGGCCAGAATTAAGGRATCTCACCCTCTCTAGGCCATAGTGAGCAAGCACTTGAGTTGGATGTGTTACTTAAGGAAGGTTGTTTGCAAGGAATGGGAATTCTASGAACTGGATTGGGTTGTAGCTCCTACTTTGTATGCCCTGTCACTATGTGGTTGCARTAATGAATTACTGGACAGTCTTAATGGAACAAGTCTGCTACTTTGCTCTACATCAGAGCATGCTATAATGCTCTGAACTTTAATGGCTGGGGAATTTCTGACTTGGGAGACTTGCTGAGGTTAGGGTCTGTACAAAACAAATATTTTCTGTATTTTGGACTACTCTGATCATGCATGGATTTTACATGTTGTTTAGCAGCAGCCATCACTACCAGAATGTGTAGTGGAAGCAAGTGAGATAATCAGTAAGTACRCCCTGGATTTTAGTTACCTTTGGAACTTGATCACTTGGATATTGATGTAGCWCTAGAAAATGTCTCAAAGAAATACTTAATGGGCAATTTGCTGCAAATGTTTTGGTTTTGCTGCAAATGGTTTGTTTTTCCAGAGGGCAGACCTGCGTTTAAACTGCAGTTCTGTCTCTGCAGTAAAAGTACTAAAAGCCAGTTTTACAGGCTGGTTTACAGCAGGATAATGTTTAAAATATGCTTTATCTGAGTGAAAGCTTCTGCACCTAACCTGTGTGCATGTCAAAGGTCTGCTCATCACAGCAGTGACTTCTGGTCAGTCCAGAGTAGAGCTGTATCAGTGACTCTGCTTGTGTGTTACAGTTAGAAGATCTGGATCTGAGCACAATCTGCCTGRTTTCAGGCACAGATTAAGAAGAGGTTTTACCCTATTAAAGGTTTGAGCTTTGCTTCTAGTCAAATAGTAGATAATCTCTTGATCGCCCTTCTGAGTTASAGCCTGATGTGAAAGGTGTCCAACCAAGAAAGATTGCCCAAGCATTTTTTGGCCTAAGCAGCCAAAGCCATAGGGAATGTCAGCATGTGGTCTGAGGGCCTGGCAGTACCTCTTGGGGTAAGCAACACCCTGTTATGGTAGTGTTTGCTGGTGCTGTGAAGGGTAAGGCACAAAACGGAAAAATACTGAGAGATGTAATGAAACCTCAAGCTGGAAGGGAAGGTTACTGGCTAGCTGCCTTTGTAATTGAGTGGTATTTTGTTAGTAGCATGTGTAGGGCATATATAATAACTTGTTACTAGCTTGTTCTGGAAGACATAAGGAGTGCTGTAATCACCTGTGTCACATTGGATTATTCATTTGCTTTTACGGCCCCTTCAGAAAAAAAAAGGTGGGTCTGAAGTATGACATGTTTTATGTGCGTCTGCTGCTTTCTTTGCAATAATAGATGAAAATTGTGTTCTCTGCTTGTCAGCTCTGCTTGTGGTTGAGTGGAATTAACCCYTGAGCAGGGAAGGAACTGTCACCTGGAGTTGCCTCCTACCTGTCACTTGCAAACAGCTGCTGTCTCCCATCCTTTTCTAAATCCTTTAATTTTGGTCCTTGTAGCATTTAAATAGGACTGAAAATAGATTGATCAGATAAGTGTGAGATGAGTTTACATGCTCAGCAGTTAATAAATGTGGGAGGTCAGCTCTGTGTTTAACTTGTGCTTTGGCAATTGTTTGGCCAGTACTTACCATTAATTCCTGGTGTATGAAGATTGCAGCTTATTCAACAGTACCTGCCAACAGTTACTAATAAATGTATTAAGCCTTTTTATTTTTCAGTCTTTGCCTAGTTCTCCGATGCATTTGGCTACAGGAATATAATTTTTGTTCCTGTTTCTTTACTGTTGAAGAGCTGCTGTTCTTGATGACTTACTGAGCATGCTGAACTGTGCATAAACTTCTTACTTAAAGAGACTCTGCTGCTTAGACTTGTAGGAGGAACTTCCCTGGGTGATGTTCTTCTCAAGCTGCAGCTGGATAACCTCCTGAATGCTGTCTTTGGCTTGTTTTTGGGGTAGGGTAGGTTACAAGACACTTACTGCTTGGGTGTTCAGTACAGCTATGTGCAGCTTAGCAAGGAGACAAGTAATGTTCAAGTGTTTGATTAGATTCTTGTATTAGAAAAATTAAGCTATTTTGAAGTCTCAGGAAAGCAGACATCCAGAAATTTCCGTATCAGCCATAATAGAAGAACTGTGAGCTTTCTGTTGGTGCAGTGTCGTTATCACTGTGCAGTTTCATTATCTCACTGTGTAAGCAATGAAATGTTTTGTTGCCTGAGCTGTTTGGTTTCCAGATATATGGGAAGCTAAAACGAATTTTAGCTCTTGTGAGCAATGAGGAAGAATATTTTCTAGTAAGCTTGGAGTTTCAGTCTTGTAAATTGGAATTTGCAGTTTCTCAGCCAGGAGTCCCCTTTGGCAAATGATGCTCTCATCATGCTTTCTTGCTTAGGAATAATGCAAAAGGGTGGCTAAGCTGGGATTGTCACTGCTGTGTACTACACCTCTGGAAGCCCAGGGCTAGTTGTCACTTCAAATGTCTTATCTCATAAATACTTGCAAACTTTGTGCTTGAAGTTAGAGTTGGCAGGGTTCCCTGCACATCTTCTGTAAGGTAACAGCACTTCCAAAAGAACCAACCTTTGTGCATATAGAATGAACTTGTATTTTTCCTTGCTGGAAGAATGGGAGTTCTTCAGTGTTCCATGCAGGCAGCATCTCATGGTCAGGCTGATGGTCTCTGCCAGTGATCCCAGCAGCTTGGCTTCCCCACTTTCTAATTCCATGCTACTAGTCCCATTATCCCAGTGTCGGAGCAGCCAGGTAATGTGCTCATACAAATGTATTTGCTGCAAAAGACCTGTAAACTGTTATTTTCAAGATTGTGTTCTGTGGATGGTTTTCTTATAAATGAATATTGAAATTCATGCATTGCTAAGAATTACAGTCATTTCTCTCTTAAAGCTGTAGAGTTTGTGATTATGTAGGAGAGCATTTTGAGGAAATGTTCTCAATTTCTTAAAAAGCAGTGTAGGCTGCTTTGAACCAAATAACCTTCGAAAACTGACATTCCTCTGTAGCTCAGTCTAACTTTTTCGGAAAGGAAAAGCTAACAATTTTTACCCCACAGTGAGAAATTGTGTGACTCTGGTACAACGTTTGAAAAAAGCAAGGCAGAGATGGAGGCAGTGCTGAATTCTGACAGGTGAAGTCAGGTGCTGGGCACAGGGGCAGGGAAAGGCACTTCTGCTTCTTCCCAGGGCTGGGCAGATGCGTTGATCCCTGACAGACTGTGTTCCTGAGCCCCCAGATCAGATGAGAGCGCTCTTTGTGCACCTCTGGGCTAGCACAGGGGCTTTGAATGTAGTTCTGATGCTCCTGAAAAAGAGCCAGTTTTCCCTGGAGGAGCACCTGAGATGACCCTGCACCAAGAAGGGCAGAGGGTGGGAATATGGCATTGGTGACCTGAACCCTGTAACTTGTGCCCAGCACAGGACTCGTGCATGCACTAAATGGGCACTCATGCATGTGCTGAGGGGGCACACATGAGAAATGGCTGCTCATGTGTGAGCTGATTGAGCACTGAGGTAGGAATTAATTGGGTGCTCACGTGAGCTGTCTCGAGGCTTGTGTGTCAACGAATTGAGTGTTCGTGCATGAAATGATTGGATGCTAAGGTCCAAATTAATTGGGCACTCATGCCTAARCTAATTGGGCACTAATGCATGAAGTTTTAGGGCATTCGGATGTGCAATAATGGGATGCTGTACAGAATTTCAGGGAGTGTCCATGCATAAAAGTATTGAGTGCTCATGCATGATCTGATCAGGTGCCCATCATGCAAGCCATRGCTCCTGCAATGTCTGCTCAGCCACTTGTACACGGTTGAGCTTTGTGTTTGCTGCCAGCTGGGAACACGTGGACATCCATTCACACATGTCCCTCTGCCTCCAGTCCTGGTTGGCCAGCAAACACGGAACAGTATTTTATTCAGGAACTGGCCTAGAACAAATCCAAACCCAAACAAGCCTCTGGGCAGGCGATGACAACTGTGTTACAGGCCATTCACCAAGAGCTTTTATCTTGCTGCGTCCAAGTGAATTGACAGCTTTGTGCTGGAAAAGATGATATTGCTCTCGCCTGCCCATGGGTACAGAGCACGTATTTGCAGTCAGCATTGACAAAGAGCTTGTGATGAGACCCATGGGGTCGATGGTGTGCTGGCCTGGGTTTATATTCTATTCAATGAATTGAGTGTCTGCACCAGTCACTAGAATCCTGGACCCTGGTTTCTCCTGATTGCCWGGAGGCCCATGGCAGTCTTTTTGAGAAGGCTGTGGGTGTGTGGATTTGAGAGCCTTTGGTTTTCCAATGGAAGTGTGTACCTGTGCCCTCCCACACACACATTGTCCACCACTGCGGCCGTTCTTTTCTAGCCACTGGCCTGGGGTGCTGTGTAGAGCTGGAGTTTCAAGAAGCAGGAGCTCAAATAATGTAAAACTTCACATAACTTGAGCAGTAACATGCTGGGAAATGTCTATCAGCAGGTACTGTAAAAAGCAAGAGAAACTCTTATTCTGAATGTCCAGTAGCTAGAGGTGGAGCTTTAACAAATTGAAGCTGGAATGAGCTGGAAATCAAAATAAGGCTGTGTCCATCAGCTGGAGCTGTAGGAAGTCAGAACTGCCACAGGAAAGCTGGAATTTCAACAAACTGGACCTGAAATCACCTTAAACTAAAACAAGCCAAAACTGTAAGAAGCTGTGTTCTGACACACACAGGAACACAAGGAGTGTTTGGTAACTGGAACAGAAATCACTGGAAATGAGCAGCAGTGGTAACATCTCTCATTACAAATGTGCAGGAGCTGCAAGACAGAGGCAGAGCAGAGAGGCAGGAACTGAAATTAGCTGGAGCTTCCTGAGGAGTAATTGCTGGA